AAAAAAACAATTTTCTGTACATATTACATAAGAGTTAAGACAATTGCATTATATCTCAATGCCATGGAATCATCAATTGTTTAAGAATGTTTTTTTATGTGCTGCCTATAGGTGACCAATTTAAGAAGTTTGCGCTTGGAAATTTGAATAGAAGTAGCCAATGATTCAATGAAACTGTTAATGGGCTTTCTGAATAAACTGGCATGGGGTACATTTAGCCAATCCAGCCTCCGGATCAGCGAGGCCGAGCCCAGGCCCAGCCCAAGAGTCAAACTAATCAAATTCTCCCCATGCAGGCCCATCTCCCTGATGCAAAGGGAAAATATCCAAAGCCCAATTCCTTCTCGTCAAACGACCCGAATCTCTGGGTCAAAATCTTTCCGGATCAACACATTGCCCATATCTTTGAACTTGTGATGGATCTCCATATTTGTTGTTTCATGTGTAACAAATCCATGTTCTTTCGTAGCCGATGATATTTGTTTATAAATAATTGTTTGTTAATTGTTAATAGCCGATCATATAACTATTTTTAAATTTCATGTTGGTATGTTTATTTTACGAACTTACTTTTTTCAAAACACACTTATGATGATTATTTTTCTTTTATAAATAACGTTTTGAGCTAAAAAAGTTAATCAATTAAGTTTTTTATCAAACAAGTTAATTGGCTGATCAAGTCAAACATTTAAATGAGTTTTCAATCGGCTAATTTAACGCCAATTATCTAACATCCAAACATGGAAAAATTTCTCGTTTGAAAATTGCCGGCGGATGGAAAGTAATGGGTCGTATTTATTCGTGTCGATAGGGATGTAAATGGGTTGGGTCGGGTGCGGGTTTTGACAAACCTGAACCCGACCCCCATGCAATTTACCCAACCCGTACTCGACCCGTTACCTGGTTAGTGAATTTCGGGTTTGGGTTGGATTTTACCCAACGGGTTATCGGGTGTTCATCGGGTAAATGGGTAACCCAATTTCTTAAATTTGGGTTTTACCCGGTCCCATTCCGACCCGACCCATTTTATGTATAAAAATATAAATAAAATAATTTCACAATTAAATATAATGTAACTAACAATTTATATTTAGAATAAATATTGAGATATAATTATTTATTTTTTATAGTCTAGTTAATAATATAACATTTAAATTATTTAAATTTTATATTGTACAACTAAAATAAAATTCGATAAAAAATCAGAAAAATAAAATAATATTTAAATCATTAACCAAAATTATAATAAATAATTTAATTTATATTTATCATATGACATATATACATATATGTGTGTGCGTGTTTGTGTATGATTAAATGTTGCGGGTAAACGGGTAGGGTAATCGAGTCGGGTAATGGGTTTTTATACCATACCCGAACCCGACCCGAGGTCCCGATAGCATCATTCTATTCGAACCCGACCCGAAACCCGACCATAACGGGTTTACCCGACCCAAAAATGCGGGTAACCCGACCCTGCAGGTTTTATTGACATCCCTATGTGTCGAATGGTGCATTTAGTCGATAAGATATCCTTGGATTCGCATTTCGTTTCTCAAGTAGAAGAAAAACTTTTAGTTGAAGGGCGACAAATCATGCACACAAACGCTTTCTTTCCTTTTATACATGACGAGCCTCGTGTAATTTACGTTATGTCACTCTGTTCGAGTGGTTGTTTAACGAATTTAACGGTTCGATTCGCTTTTTAGATTTTCTCTCGATTTTTCTATACATTTGTATTTAATTTAGTCACGAAAAAGAAAATTAACTAAAGCGCACCTGAATGCAACCAAAACATAAATTAAAAAAAAAGAAAAAAAAAAATCCACATTAAAATAACCAAACTGAACCGAATTCAACGTTCGACTCAATTTTTCAGAACCCAAAAGTGTATCCAAATTGGAGGAGACATTAGACCAAGCATTTTCCAAACGTGAGTGAGTACATGAAAAGAAAAGAAAATCAATCGACCATGCTTTTACAAAAACCAAAATTGGTTAGCATGGATTTTACAAAAAATAAAATATATTAACAAAAAATTAATTTAAACCCCCTTATTCCATTATCACTATTGATATAATTTAATAATTATAATCCACTCAATTATTAAATAGAAAAAGGAGATGATAAAAAGATAATTAATTAATTACTGGGCACTGTGATTCTTAAAGCTGGTGAACGGGTTAACTCCGGGTATCAAACCGGCCGGATCGTAATTGCACACCACGTAAACCCCCTTTTGGTGGTTGCAGTAAACCGCCCCGCTGCACCCGACCCGCTGGGTTGTGCTCCAGATCACGCTCAGGTAGTGCCCGCACTCGCACCCGGCCCGCTCAGGCTGGCACCGGCAAGCGTTCCGCGCGTGGTCGTACAGCTTCGACTCGGCGAACCAGTAGCCGACGGCGTCCGCCGGGCTGAACTCGTGGTAGCTCATCCAGTATATGTTCTCGCCGTAGCCGTTGGTGGAGTGCCGGCGGTAGTCGCAGTCGCCGCGGCGCTGCTCCGCCCAGCCCCGCGCCGCCGCGGAGAGGACCGGGTCCCAAGAGAGCGGAGGCACGCCGGCGCGGAGGCGGAGGTCGTTGTGCGCTGTGAGATACTCCTGCTGCTCGAGGTTGTACGACGGGACGAACGATGCGGGCGGGTGGGCGGCGGCGGAGGCGCCGCGGCGCTTGAGCTTGTCCCTCGGGGTGTCGTGGTGGACCGTGGCGGAGGCGGCGGAGGCAAGGGCGGAGGCGAGGAGGAGGAAGCCCCAAATTCTAGGGCTAGGCATTTTTTTGTGTGCGATCCTGATTTGGCGCCTAATTGGTGGTGATTTTTTTATTTTTTAATTTATTTTGAAGATGGAAGCGAAGAAAGAGTAATGAATGGTGGTGATTTATTTGGGGAAAGTGAATTTGACGCCATTGTTCCTTGTTAATATTGCTTGGTTGCAAGAGATTCTGCGGGGTTTGTTCAAAGTGAGGTGATTTTCTTTTTTCTTTTTTCTTTTTTTTTTTTGTTTTGTTTTTGTGAAGGATTTTGTGGAAATTTAAATGGTCAATTAAGTATGGAGGAACAAATTTAAAGCACATCCACACACACAAGGTTGAATTCTTTTTGTTTTAGGACTTTGGAAGTTAATCTCACTATTATTAACTATGGTCATGTTAATTTATTAATCATCTATTTATTATTTGAAAAGAAGAAGAAAATGTTTTCACCTTTTGTATTTGATGTTCTCAATTTAATTGATTTTGGTCAATAAAGTTTTCAAAATCAATTGGTAACCATTGGGAGTTTTGATTTTGAGTTCGATTGATGATCGAGAAACATTGGATTACTGAAGAAAATGGTAACTAGTGTATTTTATAAGAATCCAACGACAGAATCTCTTGTAGCATTCGATCAAATTTTAAGGTGTAATGTGATTGGAAATTTTCAATTTGTTGACCAATGGATTTGATCAACCGTAAGGATAGATTAGTATTGTTAATATGATATTTAGTCTACTTTAGTTTGGTATTATCTAGTGAATGTACGAGAAATAAGTAAAAACGAGATAGGATATTTTGATGGTGAGCTCATGTGTTCGTACTTAATGTTGTATTTAATGGCATAATTTATGCATTGAGTGCCAAGAATTGTCTTAACCTTTCTACATATGAATCTTAAGACTATTCATACTAAGGATGATCCTATCAAACATTAAATGAAAAAAAAAAAAACACACATTAAATGCGACATGTGACTCTATGAGGCTATGGCAAGTAGGTTGACAAGCATTTGGTGGGCTTGTCTCATCCTCCGTCATTAGGCTACAAGTAGCTATTATTTTAATATTTTTCGCCGCCTTAATGCGCTTGGCTCGGGTCTTCGATACTAACTTTTGGCTCGTTTTATCCAACTCACGAGCTCAGTTCTGCTAGCTTTGGTAATTTTCTGGACGGCCTTACACTTAATGTTACCCAACCCAAGTGTCGTGCTTGATTCTCGCTCGATATCCAACTATTTTTACTCCCGGTTCAGTTTTCACTCTTAATCCTCTGACCCAAGTTTCGGCTCGACTATTTTTTATTTAAGCAGTCGTATATAGTTCCGAGCCCACCCAACTCGAATGTCAACAAAATTCTTCAACGACAATTTTGACAAAATTCAATACAACGTAGGATGAAATGAAATATATTTTTCAGTAGGTCAAAACGAGGGTTTAAAATGTTATATGATATGTTCCACCCCGGGAAGCAAAAGTAATTAGGTGATTAGGTCTAGACTTCTAGTTGACCAAAAGTGAATACTTTTAAAAATTGATAACAATATAAAAATCAATGATCCATCACGCCCAAGTTCCGTTGTCATACACGAGAAAGAGAATATCTTGATTAATTGTTTAAAGTTTGTTATCACATCTACTGTGTATTAAGTCAATTGTGCACTACCATACTCCAATATTGTGCACTTCACAGAATTAGGTTTTCTCATACCCAATATTGCAATAAATTCAATACGCTCTCACCTTTTAAGACCAAACTAAAGTCGAAAGCAGAAAGTACATTGCAACACCAAAATACGTCCACAAGTTCTACACATTCAAGTTTGCTAAAGAGTGATCACAACAGATAGTAACAGAAGTTGCAGACAGAGAAAAATAAATCTCCAAATAGTAAATAAAACTAAATTACGTGCGCACCTTTAATTCATATCACAAAGTTAAGGAGACTCGCAGCCCCTTGGAGGAGAACGGGCCCCATTATTGTTATTATCATCATCATCCTCAACCTGTGGGCTTTGGCTTGGGCTGGCCTCTCCGGCCTCAACAGGCGATGGGCTTCTATCTCCAAGTCCATTCCTATCAGGCGATGCACACCTTTTATTCATAAAAGCTAAGAACGTTAAACTAGAAAAAAAAAAAAAAAAAAATTAACTCCTCGAATTCAACCAAGCTATCAAAGGGAAATTATAATATAGAAGGGTAATAAACAGTGTAGCCTCATCACACCTTTACACATTCCAGAATCGTGACTCGATGCCTCTGCACTGCTTGACTATCTAAGGTGATTGCTTTCATCAGCATATTCAATGCGACATATCTGAAATAATGCCTCTTTTTCATCAGATACAACTTTGAACAGAACAAGAGAAAGGTATATCAATCACTAAGATCAGTATAGCATATAGATTGGACGGATAGCTCACATCATAATAATTAACATTTACGTGTGAGTTAGTTTTACTGGATATCACTTCGGCTCAACTGTAATGGCCTATTATTCAATGAAAGACAACAGCTCATTGGCTAGTTATCTCGGTTTCATGAGAACAAAAATATGAATAATGTGATTTCATTAGAAAATAAAAAATGATAAACCAAACGACTAATTCTATGAATTACTTGGAAAAATAAACCCAAAATATTTATTGTATAATAGATCTAACCAAAAAAGCCTGATTAAACAGTTTCTATACACAGTTTAGCAAAAGTAAAGAAATACACCAATTTCATCCCTAATTCCAAGAAATGCAAATAACAAAGAGTTGTTATTCCCCTACCTGATATTGTTATCACGGCTAGACAGATATCTACCCAGAAAATTGATAGCAAGTACCCTTAATCCTCCATTATCTTCAACGTACATGAAAGTAGCAACGCATTCATAGAGAATGGCATTGATTTCCAGCATTTTTATTTGACTCAGTCTCGGTTGCCACCTACAAAAGAAGTGAACTTCGATAAACAGAGTATTTATTGGAAGCACCAATTAAGAAATTGAAGCGCGAATTACCAAGCTTTGATTAACAGTCTTGGACGCGACTACAAAAGAGGTCTTCGCCATTTATAATGGTTTGGCCTTGATTAATCAGAAGAAGTCGACTCCAAATAACTGCATCCGGGGAACTTCCTAACTCCCTTCTCACACATTTTATCCCTCAAACGAGACACGCTAAGCCACTTATCAGCCTCAGCATAAATATTAGACAAAAGCACGTAACTGCTTCCTCTCCGTGGCTCCATTTCGAAGAGCTTACGTGCCACTATCTCCCCTAAATCAACGTCACCGTTCACTCTACACGCCTCGAGCAGAGCTCCCCAAGCCCCAGCATTCGATTCAACGGGCATCGATCGTATAAGTTCAAAGGCATCCCTCAATTTCCCGCATTTACCAAGAAGGCTAACCATGCACGCGTAATGCTCCGCATTCGGGCTCATGGAGTAATCACGGGCCATCATCTCGAAATAACGGCACCCCTCGTCTACTAAGCCTGCGCTGCCGCACGCAGTCAGGACCACAGTGAACGCCACGTCATCAGGCCTCACGCCCTCATGGATCATTCTGTCGAACAGAGAAACTGCGTGGGCCCCACGCCCATGAATGCACAACCCTTGCATCATAGAGCAGTAAGAGACCAAGTCTCGTCTGGGCATGTCCTCGAATAACCGAGCTGCCCGATCCAAGTCTCCACATTTGGCGTTCATGTCGACAAGGGCTGCTAACACGTGGGCTCGAGTCAGGTCGAATGGCCTGCCAGGCTCCATGAGATAGGAATCGATCCATCTCGCGAGCTCCAACGAGCCAAGTTGAGAGCAGGCAGACATCAGGCCCACCATCACAAATTCGTCTGGCCTTAGGCCCGTGGCCCACATTTCGCGGAAGGCCCTTAGTGCATAGCCGGGCTCACCATTCTGCACGTAGCCTGAGATCAAGGCGGACCAAGAGACCAGATCCTTGTGGGGCAGCTGGTCGAACAAGGACCTAGCGGCCGACATTTGTCCTGCCTTGGCGTACCCATCGATTAGAGTCGTGAAGGAGACCTCGCTTCTCACGGGCATTTCATCGAACAGTTTTCTAGCGCTGTTCATATCACCCAATTTGACCAAACCCTTGATCATCGCATTCCAGGTGGGCTCGTTCCTCACGGGCATTTCTTCAAACAGGCGTCTCGCAGCACACATATCGCCTGAATTAATGTACCCCACCATTAACGCTGTCCAGGAAAACTCATTCCTCAGGGGTAATCCATCAAACACTCTACGCGCGCACTCGATCTCCCCGCACTTTCCGTAGAAGGCGATCAGGCTGGAGCCCACGAAGACATCCTCCACGGCACCACACCTCACGGAGACCCCGTGGATGATACACCCCTCCCTCAAAGCTAGAGCATTAGAGCAGGACTTTATTAAAGGAGAAAAGGTGTACTTATCGGGAGTCAAGCTCGAGCTCCTTCTCATCCGACTGAAAAGCGATAAACACTCGTGAAGGGTAGAGTTCTCGCAGTAGGCCTTTAGCAGAATGTTCCAGAGGTATATGTTCGGGCGGGTGACGGAATTGAAAACGCTGGTGGGGTACGAGAGATTGGTCGGCAGAGCCGCTGCGCAGACGGAGATGAAATGGGCGACCAGGAAATGATCCTGCTGGCGGCCTCTGCGAAGGATGTGGACGTGGATTTGGTTGAGATCAACGATGGTCCTGCAGGCTCTTAGGAGGGATAGTAAACCGGAGGACGAATGCTGCAGGACCGCCGGAAGGGGCATCGGAGAATATTACAGTAGGCGCGGTTCGCCGTTGCATTTGGATTAGGGTTCTTTTCTGTTGGAGAAAATATAAGTTTGATTAATTAATTTATTTATTTTTGTTTTGTCATACTATTTCCTTCTTATTATTATGTTTGGTTCAAACATGAAAAACCCATGAAAAAGGTAATGGCCCGACATTTAATAAAGCAACTTCTTGATTCCATATCCCACTTAGAAGTTGGGATGTGTAATCCATCATTTCATCTCCATTTTTTATTTAAATTTACAAAATAACATTCATTTCCTCTCCTCTTTTTTCGCAAACGTGAATGTGTCGGCACCAAGATAACCCAGCCCCCCTTTGCTTCTTCTTCTTCATCTTCTTTTTTTTTTATTTATAAAACAAGGAGCAACATCTTTCGTAAAGAAAGCAACATAGCCTATTTTTTTTTAATTTCGTGAAGCAACAGAGCAATATTTTTTATTTCCCCAAATTTTCAATCTGTGCAGTGAAAAATTGAAAGGGTCAGTGGATTATGGTTGAAGTTGGGTGCTGTGCAGAAAATAATTGGTGTAGGGAGGGGCGAGGGATTGGGGCTAAAGTTGGGTGGCCTTGCAATTTTCACAAGAAATTTGGTGTAGGGCGAGGTGGGGGATTGGGGCTGAGGTTGAGGGAATTGGGGTTAGGTTGGGTGGATTTTCATAGTGAAAGCTAACGGCGGCGGAGGTCGACGGCGGAAAGGTCGGCGACAGGGTGCTATGAAGGTGATGACGGTAGATGAATGCAATGAAACAATAATTATGTTATTGTGTTAGAGGGCAAATTTTGAAAATTGAATTTTGAATGACGGGTAGAAAAGTAATTTCAAACTTAAAAATTATAATTACCAAACATTAACCAAACAAGTTAATGGAATAACTGATTTGATGGATAGCCTTTGATGTTATCAAGAATATTATATCATGCACAATCACCCTTTAGCAACCAAACCCACCCTTATTATATAAACTAGTATGTAGTCCGTGCGACACGGAGTAGTAATTATAAATTATTTGTATTAAATAATGAAATATTGATTAGCATAAAAATAATTTTGAATAATAATATTAATTGTTTTATGATATATAATAATTTAATATGTGATTTATATGTTTATTTAACTCATTATAAAATAGCTGAACTTTTATGTTCTTGTATATAATTAAGGATAATAAAAATTTAACATATTTAAATATTATTAATAATTATTACTCACAGAATATTTCTTTCCCTCTCTCTCTCATACCATATTACAATATAATGTGTCGTTTCTAAATAAATTATGGTAAAGTTGAAAAAATGTGTCAAATATTATAACAAACACTTACTTGATAAAGTTTGTAATATATATTATTTTGAAGTTAAAATAAATATTGACACCCGTGTGATATTTTGAAAAATTTTGTTTCATCGATTGTATAGGCGGGATTTTTTGGAGATACGATAATAATATTTTGGTATATTGTTGGTTAGCAAATTAATAAGAAATCACCATAATTTTTATTTTTGTTGATAAATAATATTTTATTGTACAATCGCGATAAATATCATAATAAAATTTTCATAACCATTATTAAGGACTCTTATAGTAATTAAGTTATTTAAACGTGTTGTTTAATTTATGATGACCGAAGTAATGTACACATGTTGTTTAAATTAAAAAAAGATAAGTGTACATAAATTAAATTTTATCTTATTTTTGGTTTATTTATTTAGAAGTTTAAATTTGCTTTCAATTACATGAATTAAGAAGTTTTTATTAGAAGTTTAATAAAAAATTATAATGATATAAATTTAAATATGAGTTTAAGAAACATCAAATTCTGATTTGATGATAAGATAAGATTAAAGGTTTTGAATAATAAATTAATTGGCACGTGTGTCCTAATTGAAAGCATTTATTTTGATTTCTTTTGATTTTATTAAATTATCTATATATATAATATGTCAAATGAATTATTTATTTGGTCAAAAGTTACTATAAATAATTTAAACAACAACTTTTTTATATGTAGATAGATTTATAAATAAAAAAACCATTTAATATAATGTAGCATACATTAATTGTTGGAAATCATATATAAAAAATAACTTGTATAATACTAGTGAAATATGTCAACACGCAATTATAACCAAACAGATATTAAGCAAAACGAAAAGGAACAATTAACATTGCTTGTTTAATTTGATACATATGTCACAACTTCATTCACTTCATATGCAAATATAAATNCCTCCTTTCCATGTTTATAAAATGTGCAAATATAATTTTACATAATTAACATGTATGTGTTAAATTAAACATATGCATAAATTTGTGTGATAGAAAGAATTTCTGCAATATAAGAGCTACAAAGGATGACATAACTTGCTAGAAATATTTACTTCATGTCAAGTCTTTTGACTCTTTTCTGCATTGTTAAAGCCAATTTCAAAAAAGTATTTCTTTAAAAGTAATTTGTATATCAATTTAATGCAGTAGTACTCTTTGCTATTCATTCAGAACAAACCAAATACATTTCACACAGTACCATCATATGAAAAAACTCACAAGTCACAACTCAACTACATACATTCACCTTCTCTTGTTCTTGCTCCCAAACAACAGTGCAAAGTAAAACAGAACCCTAAACAAAAACCCCAAAGCAACAGTAATCCACAGGCAACTCCACATATCCAAATCAACAACCCCTCTCTGTTTCAATATATCCGGCCCGCCCATTAGGCAAGTCGACCCGTTAATCTTCTTCCCCAAACTCCTACTAATCGACTCCAGCAAATCGAGCTTCACCCCGTGCGGCACGTCCTTCAACGGCGTACCGTCAAACACCTGAACCCCCCTCACGAAGCACCTCGACCCGTCCCCGAACTCGTTCCGCATAATCCCTTCGTATGGGTATTTCACGAGCGACGCGTAGTGGAACCACAGCCAGTACTTAGGTATCCTATCCCGGGCTATAAAAAGCCCGCTAAACAACATAAAGTAGGCTAGGATTGCCACGACCACCGTGTAACCGGCCATCATGTTCGAAATGATGCCCGATAGGAAGGTCACGAACGAGCTCCCGGCCCAAAACGAGGCCAATATGAACGAAAAATAGTAGACAAAGCCCGACGGGCCTCCCGCTAGGCCCACGGCCCAATAGGTGACGGCCGCGAACACGGCCGAGAGGATCGCTAGGGAAGGAATCGAGGTGGCCGAGTGCGAGACGACGTAAGACGAGCGGCGGTACGCGTTGTGGGCCGTCTCGCGCGCGAATATGTTCCGGTCGAGGAGGAAAGCGGGCATGGCCTCAGCGCATGTGTAGAACGTGGTCGAGACGGCAAACGCGAAGAAACCGAGGCGCTCCCGGACGCCCCTCGGCGAGTCGTCGAGCTTCCGGAAGACGGTGGCGAGTATGGCGCCGGTTACGAGGACGGCGACGAGACGAGCCCCGAACTGCTCGGGGGACCGTCGGGAGTTCGCGAACGATCTTTTGGCGACCACGAGGATTTCTCTCCACATGGGGTTCGCGTATTTGCGGCCAGTAGAAATGCTCGCGCGTGTGGCGTTTCTAAGGGTCGACGATTTGGAGCTCGGGTTTTGTTTTATCTTCCCGTAGTGCCATTTCCGGTTGAAATCGGCTAGATTTCGGGTTCCGGAAGGAGTTCCCTCGAGCTCGCGGATGAAGTCGAGAGCAAACTCCGTCTTGTCCTTGCTATCCGAGATCGGGCTCCCGAACGCCGTGAAAAATCGGGGAAGAGCCCCGGGTGGCCCGTAGAAGACCGCTTGGCCACACGAGAGTATGATCAACCGGTCGAGCTGGCGCAGAATCCGGTAGCTTGGTTGGTGAATCGACAAAACAACAATACTTCCACCCCGCGCGATTTGACGCAAGACTTTGACCGTCATGTGCGCGCTCGTCGAGTCCAAACCCGAGGTCGGCTCGTCTAGAAAGAGTAAGATCGGGTCGTGGACGATGTGGGTCCCGATCGAAACCCGCCGCCGCTCCCCGCCGGAGACACCTCGCCGGCCCTCGTCTCCGATAACCGTCCCGGCGGCGGCCTCAAGGCCCAACTTGCTGATTAGGGCTCGAACGCGGGCCTTCTTCTCGGGCCTCGGCATGGCCCACGGTAGCCGGAACTCGGCCGAGAACATTAGGGTTTCCTCGACCGTGAGCATCGGATACAGAAGGTCGTCTTGCATGACGTATGCCGATATGGCTTTGAGAAGCTTCGGGTCCAAGAATTCGTCGTTTAGTGTGATGGTCCCGTGTAGGCTCTCCCGGGAAATGCGGCCGGCGAGGGCATCGATCAAGGTGGACTTCCCGGAACCGCTGGCCCCGAGCACGGCCATGATCTCGCCTTCCGAGGCTTGTCCTGAAATCCGGTCAAGCAGGATTTTCGTACCCGATTTGTGATTATTAGCGTTGTTACAACACGACGGGATGATTTTTCGGCGGATTTTGATGCTATAAGTTAGGTTTTGGAAGGAAAGTACGAAGGGCGTTTTGGGCGGTCGGGAAAAGTCGGGTTCTTGGATTTGAAGAATGCGACGAGCATTGGGGTCGGTGGATTGGTCTCCGACATATTGCATAAGCTCGCCGAGTGTGTGAGGCATGCTCCGTACGTGTCTTTGGCTAAACTCTTGGAGCTCCATGAAGTGTCGAGGGCCTAAAAACGGCAAGGCGCTCGTCATGAAGGGGTCTGTCACTTGGACTTGTGCTACTTTGGCCGAAGGTCTCATCTTTTTAAGGGATAGTTATAGGAGAAGTGTTGAGAAAAGTAGGGTTGGTATGTGTTTGTTGAGATTTTCTTGCATCAAGAAACAAGAAAAGATTTTTTCTCAAAGGCTTTTTGTTGGACTGTATTTGGAATTTGTCATGTAACTTGTGGCTGCATGTTTGGTGGTTGGTCTTTTTGAGAAAATGGTTTCTTATTTTGTGCAGGATTAGGTGAGGGAAGTTGCAACTTTTCTTTTTTTTTTTTTGATCATTTGTGAATTTGCGTCACTGTTCTACTAATGAGTCAAAGTATAAAAACAATCAATGAGGTTTCTTGTGATGAATAACATTTGAATGCAGTCTTCAATTTTCTTTTCCCTCTGTTGTGAGACCTGATGATATAGTGTGGGTTTGATGGGATAACTTCTCAAACTGAAATCCTCAATATCCAAGCCAGTTTCAAACTGAACCTGTCCAACCGAGTAAAAGGACTCACAAGAAAAATTCTCCTCAAATCCATTTTCAAATCTTGCCACTAAAACATTTTTGTTCATTTGGTCATTCACAAGAATACACAGTTCAACAGTAAACCACATACAGTTGGAGCTTAATCAGACAACCAGAAAAGGACAAGTGAATATTGTTTGTGTACAATGTTGGATTGATGAATGCAAGTGAGAGTAAGCATAGTAAACACCATATCTACCGAGGTCTCAACACACAGAACGAATAAACAATCAAATTATTATCAAAATAGCTACTAGCTTACGGTGCACAAAATAACAGAGTTCTTTGACTCTCCAAGACCATCAGATTTTTCCAACTATGTTTATTTAGCTTTCAAGAGGACATTGAAGTGAATATGAATGAATCAAGAGCATGATCGAAATGCAGTCCACACAAACCAGGATCAACTAAAGGAAAAGAACCCCAGAGTTGTTTTGTGTTAGAGTTACCCACTCTGTCAAAATTTGTCAACAGAAAAACAAGAATCAATGTGATAGTGAAAGACCAACTAAAAATAAAGAGCTTCATCAATGAAATAATGTACTTAAAAAACAAGTAACAATTTGCACCTGAACAAAAGATATAACACGAAAAAAATAGAGGCGAAAAATAGTGAAAAGACATTACATTTCCATTTTCAAAGGTAGATAGATAACACTCGTCGGTCTCTAGAGGAAATTCAAAGTAAAGAAAAGAAAAACACGTACACAAATCTATCCATATAATATTTGCTAAAATAACTCACGATCAGTGAAAGCAGAGAGCAGGTACAAAAAACAAAAAGGACTCAGCATTTCGATTGATTTCCAACTTCAAAGCTCGAATTCTTCATCCTTAAGAGCCATCTCTGCAGCCTCTTCCTCCTCATCATCGAGTGCAAAGTACTCATTCTTCTCAACCGGCCTAAACATGTAAAAGATTATAGCATAAAAAGCAAGACTGGCAATCTCCTCGGCTGCACTAGCCACCCACTGGTACTTATACGCAGAAATTGTCCTGAGTGCAAACACCACAATCCTAGTGAAGTACAAGTACCCAATTACAACAATGTAAAACTGCCTAAAAAGCGTAAGCTTTGCCAGATTCCTTGCGGCCTTCCCGTCAGTCTTCGATGTCTCCCTCAAAGACCTAATGGACCAAACAATCGGGAAAATAATCGCACAGCAGCATATAATATCAACCAACAAGAAAACCTGATTCCAAGTTACCCAATCCTTGATAAAGGGACCAGTCTCCCCAATAACAATCGAAGCAACATTTGCCAAGACTTGCAATGGGATCACAATCATCAACACCTTTTTCTCCTTCTCCTGCAAAAATGGCTTCAAAAACGACCACCCGGTACCAATCAGAACAATCACAGTGAACAGCAACACGCCACGAATAAACTGGAAAATGTAAAACAATACATCCCATCCGTGAGGCGTCCCTGTGACCTTCACGTAATGTTTGTCCTCTGCAGCACAGAGCAAATTCAGTGCCTTCATAATCACAAGAAGCCCCATGAGAAAATGAATCCTGTGCACAGACTTCTTATTTTGCAAGCAGGTATAGATCCAATAGGCCAAGAACGCAAAATACAGAACAGAAAAGCAGAAATAGAGCGACGGCAATTGGGTCAGCCCAGCAGATAAATAGTCCTTCTCTCTACCAAGGCCGTCGAGGTTGTAAAGCTCCGTGCGCACATTCATCGTCACCGTAGATTCGGGGGCGCAATTGGCGAAGAACAGCGAGTACTCGTTCGGGGCGGTGATCGGGTACGAGTGGTTGAACGAGGAGTGGGGCGGAGGAGACAGATCTCGGAAAGTGAAGAGAAGATTGATGTACTTGGAGTCGAGGACGCAAAAGGAAGGGTTCGATTGGAGCTCGAGGAGCACCTGGATCAGGGATTCTTCGGAGAGGAGGAAGAAACCTAACCTGGATGGGTCCGGCGAGCCGACGGCGGACATGACGGAGACCGCCGAGACGGTGATTGTGGCCTGTCCGGTGTGCGTGAAACCGAATCGCTCGAAGAGGATCATGGGCCGGGAATCGGCGGATATTTTGAGGTTCTTGATCTCGGCGGAGGCGAGGGGCGTCAAGAATAGTAGGATCGGGAGGAGAAGGAGGAGCTTCGCCATCTCGATCGGAGAAACAGAGGGGGGATCAGGAACGGCGGCGGCGGTTGAGCGGAGGAGGAGATTGTGATGGGGATTTAGGTAATCGGAGGAGAAATGTAAAGTGCTGCAGGTGGAGTTAATTCCAACAAATTGCGTGTTTTTGACTTTTCCTTAATTACCGAAATGGCCCCTTAGATCTGTATTGTCGATTGGGTTGGGGCGGAAAGAGTGTGAAAAGGAAGGCCCTCGAAGTTGTGAGTTAGTTCGTTTTGGCCCTAGAAGTATTAATATTCCACAATTGGAACTCGTCTTGTCGAGTCAAGTAACTCATGTTCGAGTTTGTGTTCGTTTAAGAGAGAAGATGTTCGCGAACTTCGGATTGACTGTTCATGGTGAAATTTATAAAAATAAAAATATATATATATATTTATAAAAAAAAACGAGTAATTTGCGAACAAGTTCGACTCGACTAATTTAATAAAAAAGTTCAATTAATTGATCGAGTTCAGTTCGTCTAAATAAACAAAACAAACAAGCCGAACAGAGATATGTGTTTGTGAAATTTGTTTTACAACTCTATACACAAGAAAGAGAAACGTTATAATTGGTATTGAGTTAATTTCCTCACTAGAGTAATATTTGTCGCAACTATCTCATAAATTAATTGAAAATAAACATTTCAGATAGGAATTCATGAATTAGATTTTGCAGAAGAAACTCAATGAATTTGGGATTCTCCAGCTGCTCATAATAACACATTTCGAATAACAAGTTTGTTGTTGTTAGTATTTTTTTCAGTACGATATTAACTTCAAAACAGGAAAGACGAGCATAAAAAAGGAAATCGTGTTTGGAACAAAAGGTAACGCTATATTTCATGTGGTGTGGTTTTGTTCGGTTATTCTTGTGGAGAAAATTTTCGTTTCGGATTGAATTTAATTTTGTTATGTCTCTCATGCTGTAATCCATTTATTATTATTATTATTATTATTATTTTGACAGGGTCATTTTTCAGATCGTGGAATCGATTGAGGCGGCCATTGCTCATTGCAAGAGGATCTTGTGAAGGTTTCAACAACGTAACTTCATACTAAAATTTCATCATAAAATGCAGGGGTAGATCAATGTTCTTCACAAAGGGGGCCATCGTCCCAGTGATTAAGTATATTATTTTTTACATAAACTCACAATTATATTAAAATAATAATTTTTTTACTCTTTCTCTTAATAAGTCAATTACAATTATATTTTTTTTACACTATTGTATAACATTGTTTTTTATTTAAATAAATTGAACGTATGGTAAATATGTGAAAACATAAAAATTAGTAATTTTTGAAAAAGAAGACCATATAAGATATGCTTAATGGAATGAAAAAATATCAAAACTATTAGTATTGATGAAATTAATGAGATGAGAGAGCGTTCAATTTAAATTTGTTATTGTAAAGGTTTGAAACTTTATAATTTATGTTGTATTATTATTATATATAATTTTATAATACAACTTTCTATTTTTTATGTACATTAAACTAAATTTATAATTGTTAAAAATATATAGTTACCCTCAAAGTAAATTTCTGGATCTACCCCGATAAAATGTATGGGTTATCACAGGTTCTATGGTCCAATGTTCACCTTCGGATCGACCGGTTTTTGTTCAGCCCACTCTGTCGAATTCAAAATCATAGCCCAATTTCGTTCTATGACCGCATGGCCCAATATTTTTAATTTTAAAATGCTTAAGGACAAGTTATTGAAAAGAAAAGTGAAAACCAAAAAATATTTTTTATTTTTATTTTTATTTTTTGCATCCAAACATGAGGAGAAATGAGAATATTAGGATTTTTTTTTAATAAAATATGAAAATTATGAGAATATATATATAAAATTGTAGGCAAAATTTTTAGTAAAAACTATTTTGGTATTCTCTTTATTTTCGGTTAAAAACATATATCACTAATATTATTTATCTCTTCACATTAATCCACGTCAATGTGTCCCGTCCATTTTTTTAACTACTTATGATAGAAACTCGTTACAATTAATGTGACTGAATATAATTAAATATATTTTTTATTGAGTTGCTTGTTGACATGTCCAGATAGAGTCAGGGTTTGGATCGATCAGATCCCAAATCGACCCGCTTGGCGACACCAATTAAGAGACACTAAAAAATGTTTTCATTCGAAGAGTGATTAATATAAGAATTTTGATGGCATGGTTTGTAGGGGAATTTAAAATGAAAAAAATATAAAAGGGAGGAAAAAAATATATATATACTACATGCACACAGGCATCTGATTCCA